ATATATATATGAATCTGCCCTATCGTCTAATAATTATACCCTCAGTATATATCCAACAGAATAAAAGCACAGATGTCTTATGTTTCATTTATCATTATCAAATACTAAGAACAACCTAAATGTCTATCATATATATATATATATAGATATATATATGTATATATATCAATATATATATATATATTTGGGTTATAGATTTTTCCTATCTGTGAACACTGATTTAAAAAAAATAATAACCCTTTAAGCTCTATTATAAGAGTGTTCTTAATACATCTACTGAAGTGAAAATATACCACAGGGGTGAAAGTGAAAGACAGCTGACCAACAATGCCTGTGTCACAGCACTGTAGTGATCTTGGAGAGCCAAAGTGTTTCTAGCATGGTCTGGCATTCTGCAGACACCAGCAGAGTGAGTACAATAATAGCACATGTACAGGACTGTTGTGACAATGAAGGGAGGCATGCATGGAGAAACAGAGTTTTAGGGTAGATAGTCTCAGCTGCCTCCCGCCTCCCACCACACCATGACTCTCCCTGATAACATAATCTGTGTCTTAACTGCTTAGAGCAAATGTTCTGATAGAGCCAATGCAGAAATCACAGACAAAGAAAACCAGATCCTTTTGTCTAGAGACTATTCTGTACTAAGGCTAATACACCTGGGGCAGAGAACACAGGAAGCAATAAATTTGCAGGAACCATTGATGCAGTTGGTGTTCTGCCAGACTTTAATGGAAAGTTAGAGCAGTAACTGGCAGTTTTGAAAGTGAGGTAGGCTACATCTCCTAACCCTGGGATTGTCCAGTGACCACCATACACCAGATTCTATGTTATGAGCTAATTCAGTGATGAATAGAGCAAAGAATTATTTACCCCCAGAGCAAAAAGAGGGAGGTCAATGGACATTTGTGCAAAATAGGGCAGAAATTCACATTTCAACTACAGGTAAAAGCAATGCTCTGATTTGACCCAATCAAATGCTGGCTGATTGAGAAGTCTTCCTCAGTAGGGCTGAAGGAACTTTGTCCAGTACCTCCCAACACCCCAAGTTGCATAGGAAAGAGGAGAAACAAATTTTGATAATGATATTCTTTACCACAAGTTTCTACTTGCTTGGAACTTTGCACAGTAATATGAAAGACTCCAATCCCTGCTTGTCCCTGAGGCTGACTGCAAAATACATTTGTTTAAATTTCAGGTCCAGGGAGATTTTACACCTCTCTTCTAACCTATGCACTTCTGCTTCAGATTTTAAATCCCTTCAAAGCAGTGGGATATTAGAATAGCCTATTCTGAAAAAATATATTTTTTCATAATGAGGGAAGGACCAAGATGTTACAAAGTCGTGATAATGACCTTGACACGTCCCATCTTCCTCCTCAACCCACAGCCCAAAAGTATCCATCTATTTGTCCCAGAGGACAGTGCCACCGTGCTGTGGAGTGTGAAGGATGTAAAAGAGGAAGAGTCATTCTAAAGCAACAGTTAGACTCTTCTCATTTGTTATGAAGATTAATTGCATTTCTGTTGAAGTCACTGAGACAATCAATCTAGGGTCCAGTTGTTTAGAAGAATATAAGAACAGCTAGGTAACTGTGTTAAGTGCATTGCACGCACAGAGAAAATATCACCTTTTCTCTCTAATAGCATCTAACACAAATACATCTTCAAGTTAGCATAAAGTAATGAGGTGTCACATTTATCTGACTGGTTAGCTCTGAAGAGTGATAAAGTCTATAGGAAGACACAGACATCCAAGTCATTGGCCTCAGCCCACTAGAGGACTCAGTCAATTTAACCAAGAAGACCTGATTATTCTGGGTCTAATTTGATTAGACGCTTGCTGGAATCAAATAGTTGAAATAATTTAAAGTATCACCAATCTTCCAAAACAGTCACAAATTCACAGTCTCATTTCTTTTGGTTTAGAATTATTGGGATCTAAAGCACTTAGGTTGTTACAAACTTATAAATTGCATTTTCACCCACCTACTTCCTCTCCCCACCCCAAAGAGATGCAAGGTTGCCTGTATCTCTGGGGACTATTAGCATATTTAATGAATTGTATTTCTATTTACACTTCCATCACCAGGACTACTCTCCTAGCTATTTGAAGGAACAGGTTACGCTTAGTTAACAGTGTTTGGTGAATGACAGCCAACTGCATCTCTTAAGTATGCTCCAGTCTCCAACATTTTATTCTACAACTAGAGTTTCCACCTTACCCAATACCCTAACATGAGAACATGGCCAATCAAGGAAAAAAAGTCTTTAAGGGAATCCACAGAATGAATTTCCAGAACTAAGGCAAACAGAAAGTGTAACTGATGAGTAAACAGTTTACTTATGGAGGATTAATAAATGGGTACACTTTAAGTGGAGGGGGCTGTAGCAGATTAAAACACTGTGAGTGGTTAATATTATGTTAAGGTTTCCATGTGAAATATGTACCACAGGTTCATGTATGTAGATACCCTCCAGTTAGTGCCTTTGCTCTTGGAGATTGTGGAGCATTTTTAACATGTGCCCCAGGTGGTAGACTGAGGACACTAGGAGTGAGTCTTTGGGGGGTGATAATCAAGTCCTACTTCAGTTCTTCCCCACCCCTCTCTCTCCTGATCTGTCAAGATATGAAGAACCACGTTGTAGATTCCTGACACCCTGGACCAAGTGGCTGCTAAGTCTCTGGCTTCCTGGGGACAATACACCCAAGAGTGAGCCAGAGTAAACCTTTCTTCCCTCGAGTCGCTTCCATCTGGAGTTTCACCATAAAGACAACAGAAGTAGCTAATAAACCTCTGATATTTCTAAAAGAATAGCAAACATAACTCTTTCAGAACAACTCTTAATTTATGAAAGGTAATATTACTGAAGCTCTACCCTACTCACAATCTCTGTCCTTTTTGTCTGCACTTGGGTACTGCTAGAGGATTTACTTTAACTATGTGTGTGATACAACATAAACCCAACTATTTCTGCTTTCTGTCCTTGTTCTCCATAGCATCCTCAGCTCATTATTTCTCAGCACAGTTTCATCATGGCCACCCACCATTGACAGCACCAGCTCTACTCTCATTCCTCATTGGATGATTCCCCTCTGTTCCTTTCTCTTATCTGATAGAAGTTTGTGGAGAGGGGAAAGAAGTTGGGGACTTTGTGTATAATCCATCAGGCCTCATTTACATCCCACAACAGTCTTCTTTTTCTTGTGCTATTCCCAAAATCAAGAAAGGAAAAATGAAAAATCACAACTCCCAAGAAAATAAAAGGGAAAAATGTTCCTAAATTCTTGCCTCTGTTTTATAATACAAACAGTGCAGAGGAAAGGAAGGAAAGATTGTAAGATTCAGAAGGCCAGAAAGTTGGCTGTGAAACAGTTTCTCCTAGAGTGACTCTATAGAAAAGGTCTGAAAGTGGTAATGGACAGGGCAACATGGAGGTGGAGGGCTTTGAAGGGTCTCGCCCCTAGATAGTTACTGTAGGTAACTAATGACTTCTGAGAGAAAGAGAATTAGCGTCTCCCAGGGATGATCCCTTAGGCTCCATCCAATGCAGAGTGGTCAGCCGTAAAACCATGTACACATAAGCAACAGTTGAATTAGAATTCTACTTCAATTAAAAATACAGTTTTTTAGAAAAGAATAAAAGTTACTAAATACAGAAAGTGATTTTGTTCACTTGTCTTTTATTTGGCTTTTACATCTCATGAGGAACTATGGCGCAAAATGATGACTAGGTAGTAGTAATGCTCATGTCACTGTATATACTGAACCCTAAACAGTTTACATACATTTACTCATTTTGTTCCTGATAACAATGCCTCAAGGTAAACAATTAAGAAAAACAGATACAGAAAATAAGTTCTCTTAGTCACAGAGTTGGTAGGTGAAATAAATCCAGAAGCCTAGCCATACAACTCACTTCCTTAATGACTGTAGAAGATTGACATGGCTATTTTTATCCCATGAATATGTTCACATTTAGTTGGGCATTTATTTCACAATTTTGAGAAATGAATGTTCCTGGTTCAATGTATATAAATATTTTCCCTCTACTGGCAGTTTGAGTTCCTTCTTTCTACATTGTATAGAGTTAGTATGGTCCAAACAAAAATGTCTAATTAAGGCAGAGTCAGGAGTACACTTCCCTCTGTGTGGTTCTTCAGGCCTCCCTTGGCTTCAACCAGAATCCTCCTTGGAACTTTCTGGTCTAACTGCCATCAAAACTCTCCCTTGCCTCATGTTTCATTCTACTGCCTTGAAAACATACACATTTTCACACTAGCAAGGTACTTGAGGGAAGCCTGGGCTGCCCTCTTCTCAGTGTCTCTTAGCTACATCAAGACCTGTCCAGGAGTTGTAAGAAATATCTCCATGGACAGTGCCAGGACACCTATGTGCCTAACCAGGAGAGAGGACTCATTTGACAAGAAAATCAAATTAAATAAGAAGCTTGAAGTATCAAGGACAAGAGACCATTGCCACTTTGCAAGTCCTTGATATTAAGGGGCAAATTAAAGCATCAGTCAAGTTTTTCTACTAACCCTATGTAGGGCAGTAACAACATCAGGGAAAATAGTTTCTCTAGGCATAGTATTAAAAGATAAATAGTGGGAATGGAATACTGTCAATCTCCAATATTTAGTAATTACAACATCTAAAACATTTGAACTATTATTTAATCTGTTCCATTTGTCTTCACCCCAAAATATTATCCAGTCAGCCAAAAATTGCAGCAAAAATATAAGCTCAGAGATCAAATCAGCCTTCTTAGAAAAGAGATAGGTCTCTTCAGCAAGCTTTTGTTCCTAGCTAATTGTCACGCTGGGCTGGTAACAAGCCAAATGCATTTGAACAACACAGCAAAGTACAACAGCAAGACAAATATAAATGCAGTACAAACAGCTCTCTTAAAAAATGTTGGTAGAGTCCAAAGTCCGACAGCTTGGCAAAATATAAAGCCCACTCTCTATTCCCAGAGAAAGAAGTTCAAGTACTTACAGTGTCGTGAGACTTATCCTTGACATCATAGACTGTCAGTTTTATTCTAGTCTCTTCATAGATGGGGTACTCGGGTGGGAATGTGACACCCGTCAAGAACAGTGGGTCTTTTGTTCCCTGAAACAGTATAAGCAGATAACTAGGATTCAATAAAGCAGCAACTGTATCGGGCAGCATGCAGGGACAAATGAGAACACAGAGAGTGTGTCTCTGTCTGCTTTTCTAGGAAATAGTTCTATTAGAAGAAAACTCAAA